TATCTATTATACGGATGAGTGTGCTCACAGTCTGTGGGCTGTGCATGAGGAAGATCAGGATTGAAAATTAAAAAGCAAAAGCCAAGTTTATGGATTTTGCTGATACATGCTGGTTTACGGAGTTTGCTGAAGAGTGGTTGGGCATCACTCAGCTTTTGTATTGAGGAATTTCGCGCATGTCAATAATTGGAGGACTTTAGTCTGGGATGCTCATTTTCTCCCCCTCCCCCCCAACCTTGTAGTTCCCTGCTTATAGACCCTTAAATTAGGTTGTTCACTTCCTGAGGATTAAGGTCCCATCATTCAAATCATATACAATAAAATTTGCTTAATCCTTGTGTTTAGATCGGTACCTTACCTTCTCCACCCGAATTCATTGCACTTCATCTCCCATTCTGCAGTCCCACAGTTCAATTTACATAACAAATAAGTCTTCTTTCTCCTCTGGGTGGGGACCTCTGCTGAAGGGGATAAAAATAAATTAACCGAGGGTTTCCACCTATGACCCTTTCTCCCTGATTGCATGGCAGGGGAAAATATTAAAACTTGTGATATGTAACAAAAGCAAAATTTAGAGGAAGATTTATGCATTTATTAGAAAACAACAAGAAATTCTGAAAATAAATGAACCTAATGTTCAACTCTAGAAACCAGAAAAAGACACCAGGGCAAACCCAAAGTAAGCAGAAGGAGCAGAACTGTTATAGGGCAGCCCCGATATTGAAGGGGTTGCCTGGCTGTGGGTCCTCACCGGCGCTTACAAGGGACTTATTAATACTCCACTACAGGCACACACAAAAAGTTAATAAAAGGTTTATTTACAAGGGAAAAGGAAATAAGGAAAATGTACAACTCAGGGAGAAAATAGGGAAATAAAGTCTTTAATGCGTCCTACCCGATCTGCCGACCTGGAAACCCAAAGTCACTCTCCGAGCTGGCCTGACGCTGCGAGCTGGTGGAAAGCCAAAATGGGGGACCCCCGCCCCCCAAAGCCCACGTGTCTGCCTTTATACCAAACCTGGCTGCTTAACTCCACCCTCAGGTCCCAGCCACCTTCCCTTTGGTGGTGACGGGATTTGTCTTTCCCAATGTCCTGATGGCTTTGGTCTGGAGTGGGGGTGGAGTCCACAAAGCCTGTATGGGATTAGCTTTAGGACATCCTTTTCCCCCTAACAAATCAACATGAGTAAAATTATACAGTCATCCCCCTTATCTAGTGGATAAGTCCCAAGACCCCCAGAGGATGCCTAAAACCACTGGGTAATATACCAAACCTATAATTTTTCCTTACATACATAGCTATGATAAAGGTTAATTTATAAATTAGTCACAGTATAAAGTTAACAACTAGTAATAAAATAGTACAATTATAACACTATACTCTAATAAAAGTTATGTGACTGTGGTCTCTCTTATTGTGGTCTCCATCTTAATTCTAGGAGATAATTTGGACTGTGGTTGACAAGGATAATTTGAATCTGCAGAAGCCAAAAGTCAGATAAGGGGGTGGAAAACTGCAGTGCGCTACAATACGTGACTGTTTTATATGGCGCTTCCTTTTCCTTGTCATTTGATGTCTGTTGGCAGCAAAGAAGCAGGGCTTATTTTACGGATTTTTATAGATCATTTTGAAGATTTTATAGGCCAGAAGACAGAGAGTTGGAGGAAGCATCACGTCCAAGAATCACAATCAGATACAGAATCCAAGTATTTGAGCATCAAGTCTAAGTGTCTTTCCCCCACTAGGTGTTCCCACCGAGTTGGGGATCAGCCCAAGTTCATTGAAAATAAATGGTTGAGGGCCTCCCTGGTGGCGCAGGGGTTAAGATGAAACCTGTGGAGAAATCCGCAGCCACTGCAGCACAAGTTCGATTCCCGGCTGGCCAGGGAGAAACCCACATGGTGGGACAGATCTCTCCTGTCTCGCCCGCTGCTCCCCTCAGCAGTGTACTTCGGTCCGTCTGCCTGTTCTGCTCCCCACACTGTCTGGTGAATCCTCTCACCCCCCCTGTGCATCTCTGACCTGTACTCCAATTCTTGTATAAAAATAAATAAATGTTTAAAAAAAAAAGAAAAAAAAAAAGAAAAGAAATGGTTGAAAATAAAAAAAAAAAAAGTGAGCACAGTGGTAGCTATTTACCGTTCTGACCTTGAAGAGCTGTTTTGAGACAGGAATGTGTGTGCTACACGAAGAATTCCACCCCTAGCCCCCCAGCCCTTCCGGCCACACACACACTGAACAACCCTAGCACAGCCTCCCGGTGCCTGTGACACCACCCCCCACCCTGCACCCCCAGCTCCTTTTCTGCTCTGGAGTCGCTTCAGAGCGTGTGGCCTGAGTTTCATTCTCACCAGCCCACTCATCTCCAAAAAATGCAGCCGTGCTCTGCAAAAGCCGCGCCTTGGGGGTGAGGCGGGAGGGGGATGGGCAGGCCGTGAGAGACGATTGGGTATCAGGGCCTGCTGGCGAGGCGGCGGAAGGGCGGGTCTTCCCCCCTCCCCCTGCACCCCCATCCCAACCCCGGCACCGCAGAGCCGAGGCCAGGACCTCCCCTTCGGGCTGCGGCGCCCAGGCCTCTAGCTACATGCGCAGTTAGATTGCAAATAAGACCTGCGGCGTCGTTTGCAGCAACTCAAAATAGGCCACGACCTGAAAGTCCTTCAGTAAGGAGTTAGGTAAATCAAAAATGGACGGCACGGGGACCCATACTGTGCAGTCCTTAAGAAGAATCTAGCTGGTCCAGGTGCGCTTGCAGGGAGATACCCTCCGGGATCCAGTGAGTAAAAGAGCACCTTGCAGATAAACATAGCGATAGCGTTTTGTAAGCAATGCATCTTATGTGAATATATGCACATAGTGTGTGCTGCAGAGAGAGCTGGGAGGGTGTACCCAAAATACCTCAACCTGGGTTGAGGAAGTGAGAGTTCAAAAAATATTTTATAACTATTATATTATGTATATGACTCCCGAAAAAACTTTTAAAAAAGTTTGACTTGCAGAAAAATTGCGAATAGAGAGTTCACATAAATGCTGGTTTCTTTTTCCTATCATTTTATACTAGCATGGTGCTTTGGCTACAATGAAAAAATCAATAGTGATGAATTATTAACTTAAAAAACAGACAATATTCAGATTCCTTTAGATTTTACCCTTGTCCTCTCCCCAGGATCCCTCGTAGGACACCAGTTACATTTAGTTTGCACATTTCCTGAGGTTCCTCTTGGCTGTGATACAGTGTGCATCTCAAACTCCTAGTTTTTTTTTTTTTTTTTTTTTTTAAGATTTATTTATTTATCCAAGCACTGGGTACAGTCAGAAGTGCGGGAGGGCGAGAGAATCCACCAGAGCCAGAGCGGGGAGCAGAACAGGCAGAAGGACCGAAGTACACTGCTGAGGGGAGCAGCGGGGGCAGGAGAGGTCTGCGCGCCATGTGGGACCCTCGCCGGTGGCCGGGGATCAAACCGGCGCTGCAGAGGCTGCGGGCAGCTTCGCAGCCCAGCGCTCAACCGCTGCACCACCGGGGAGGCCCTCAGATTTTCCTAGTTTTTTTTTTTTTTTTTTTAATAGAGCATTTTTTGTAATTTATTTATTTTTTGTTTGTTTGTTTTGTTTATACATGCACTGGGTACAGTCAGAAGCGCGGGAGGGTGAGAGAATTCACCAGAGCCAGAGCGGGGAGCAGAGCAGGCAGAAGGACCGAAGTACACTGCTGAGGGGAGCAGCGGGCGGCAGGAGAGGTCTGCGCACCACGTGGGACCCTCCTCCGGTGGCCGGGGAGCAGCCGGGGATCGAACTGGCGCCGCAGAGGCCGCGGGCAGCTTCACAACCCAACGCTCAACCGCTGCGCCACTGGGGAGGCCCAGATTTTCCTAGTTTTGATGACCTTGACAACTTTGAGGATTACTGCTTAGGTATTTTGTAGCATGTTCCTCAACTGGGATTCACCTCATGTTTTTTCCTCCCAATTAAACAGGGTGATGTGTTCTTGGAAAGAACACCAAAACGGGTGTACTGTACTGCTATTCTATACCGTCAATTCATCACTCTTGATACAGACCTTGATCACCAGGCTTCTTCACAACAATTCTACTCTCCCCTCTACTACGTCTATTTCCTTAAAGTTGCGTGAGCTTTATAACGCAGAAAGTTTTCTTTACCTTGAAGGCTGTCATGTGCAACTGTTATAGGACAGGGAGAGGGGCAGCCCAAGCCCCGCAAACCTGCCTATTCTAAATGGGTTCTGGCGCATGGAGCCTAAAGACACGTGAAGAAACTGCGCTTGTCTTTTGGTCGTGAACTAGGTGACACAGATGTCGGTGAGACCCGTGGGGAGGTGACAATGGCAGCTTTTAGCTTGATGTTGATTTTGCTCTTTTCCTTCCGGGCTTGTCCGGTTGTTTGTGACCCTTTTCTGTGGGTCCCCACTGGAAGATGCTTTAGACTTGTGGCAGGCCTTGGGGCCTTGCTCTGGGCCAATCCCATTTGGATGGACTTTTACCCACGAGGGGACGGGTAACTTTGGGTGCTTGATTTAGAAACTAAACTTTTTGCCTTACCTGTGTTGTTTCCTAGTTTAATTAAAGTTCCTTCCCATTAAGTCTCATATGTTTTGTGTTGATGCGGCGGATGGCAGAACCCATTTAGAATAGGCAGGTTTGCGGGGCTTGGGCTGCCCCTCTCCCTGTCCTATAACACAACCACACACTGAGCTGGAGGCCTCGAGAGTGCCCTCCCCGCAGAGGCAGCGCAGGGCAGGACAGGTCTCAGGTAGAGGTAGGGGCGTTCAAGTCAATTTCCTGCTATCTTTGGGACTCGAGGGCGTTGAGTTTTCCTCTTGAGGGTTTGGGGGAGGCACCTCCCCGTCTCCGCCCAACTTGGCTCGCACCTGGGGGCGGTGCCCCACTCAGTCCCCGCCCCGTCCTGCCCCTGCTAGGGCTCCGCCGGGGTGTGTTCCTTTTACGCTCCGCTCGCTCCTCCTCCTGCCCCGCCCGACGGCTGTGCGCGCTCGGGGCCGGGCTGCGGAGCAGGAGCGCAATCTCCAGCTGGACGCTAGCGAGGAGAGCCGCTGCCGCCCGCTCCTGTTCGCCGCGCGAGGCCCCCAGCCCTCGCGGCCAGTGATCAGGTGAGTGCGGGGCTCGGGTCTGCGCGGGGCGCGGGGCGGCGCTGCGCCAAGGACTCCGCTGGTGACGCCTGGGACGGCCCCGCGCCCCGGCCCGGCCGCGCCTTCCTGTGGCACAGCGCGGAAGGGGGTTTTCGGGCTGGTTCCCGACGGGCTGCTTGGGCCTAGCTGAGCTCGGGATGGGGTGGGCGGTGCACAGACGGGACCCCCAGGGGTCAGGGCCACGTGGTGGTGCTGCGTGGCGGGATCGGGGGGCTCTGCTGCTTCGCCCCCCCCCCCAAGGACTGGAAGAACCTGAGCTTAGAAAGTGACTGGCTGGTGTGGGGGTTGACCGCAGGCCCTCGCCCCTCTTACCCAGCTGTGTGTCCCTTCTAGGAAAGGTCTGTGCCCAGGAGAGCAAGTAGCGGAAGCTGCCTTAAGAAACTTACTTCTGAGACTGGCAAATTCCTGGAAACTGCTACTGTTGGAGTTTGTTTGTTAAGGCACCTTATTTGGGAGAATACAGAATCCACTCCGAGAGCTGTGTGTTCACTTGTGTGTTCACCTTTTCCCCATTCTCCAGCCCTGAGATCTAATTCCAGCAAAGAGGTTTTGGATTTTTTACCTTTCCCCTGGCGCCAACCTCAGCTACCTCAGGGCTGAAAAAGATAGAAATCTGTCTTTTGGTTTAAAGGAGAATTATGAAATTCCTCATGCATGACTTCGAAGGGGAGAAGGTAATCTAGCCACTGCCAGCGCAAGCAAGGGGCGGTCTGTTCAGGACATTTCTGCCCCACCCCTCTGATCAGTGACTTTTCAGTGGAGATCAGGAGAGAGCATAGGTATCCATGGTGGCCAGCTTACTCAGTTCTCTCTCTCTCTTGGCCTTTACTTTGCTTCCTGCTGCCCTGACTTTGCCAGGGAGTAGCCCTGTGAGGAGTGAGCCACTATTCTGCCCACACCATGGGAAATAAAGCTTGCAGGGCAGGGCTTGGCCGAGTCCTGGAGCTGCACAGGCAGGGTGTGTGTTATCTTGCTCACCGGTAAATGGCTCTCATTATGCTCCTTCATTCCTTGCTTCAGTCAATCGTTGGGGATTCCAGAAGGATTAACATAGCCTTTTCCCTCAAGGCACTCTCTGTGCTGCAAGGTGTTCCCTGACAACTGAGGCCAGGTGAGGTGCCAGGGCACTTTGTTGCCCTGGCATTGGGTGTTCACCACCTTAGGCTCCTGTATCCCTACTTAATTTGTCTCTCACTAGTCTCAGTGCCTTATTTTCCTTGTCTTTAAAGTGGGGATAGTACCCCCCACTACCTCACAGGTTGGTTGTGGGATAATGAGTTACATACATTTGGCTCAGGCGCTAACCTGAACAGGTGGCACACCATACCATGTGTCTTACTTAGGTGGATGTCACCCAGATTGTACATAAAGCTTGCAGCAGGCTTGGCTTATAAGTAATTATCTGTAAGAGTCAGTGATAATAATGAGATAATAGCTGTTACTCCCTTTGCATAACTGAAGATCCAGCAGAGTTGAACTGCTCCTCTGACCTGTCCTTCTATCATAGCTTATGCTGTTCCATCCTCTGGAATGCCCTCCTGGAACCCCCATTTTTTTTCAAAAAAAAATTTTTTTTTTAAACCTGAGGGTGTGTGTGGCGGGGTTGGGGTGGAAGGTGGTTCTTTTTCACCTCTGTCTTTCACAACACAGGATGGGCCCTGCCTCATGTAGGTTTTCAGCAGATGTTAGTTGAGGGAAAGGTGCAGGCCAGGCAAGTAAGGTTTCCCTGTTAAAATATTGGACCTTGAGGACTGGGTTTGGGTACACAAAAAATAAAAAAAAAAAGTGGGGAACATGAGCTGGAAAGAGTCCAGACTGAGAGGTGAGATAGTTGCTGGCTGAGAAGACTCTGGTTGTACCACTTCTGTGTTTAGTCAGGGCAGGGATGATAGGAGGGACCCCGTCCTGGATTGCTGGATTATATCTTGAAGGCCAGGTTGATTAGTGATGCCTTGATCATGTGATTTCAGGGAGGCTGGCTTTGACAGAGGTAAGAAATGAGCTGGAATAGGTTAATGTGAGTTCTTTTTGGGAATTCACTGCAGAATGGACAAAAAGAAAGCTGGGAAGAGGTGACTATAGAAGTAATCTGCACACAGTGCTAGATGTTCAGAGGCCCAGGGCCTTTCTGTAGCTGCCCCTCCTTCTTCCTGCATTCTCCTCCTACCTCTGGCTTCTCTGCTGCCATCTCCTCTTATGCCTGAAACAATTTGGGGCACTTGCTCCCATGGGGGCCACTCACAGGAGAGTCTGTATATGGGTACACTTTGTAATCACAGCCAAGCAAACAGACTTAGGTTTCTCTGGGTTTTTCTCTACAACACCTTCTGATCCCATTTCCTCCAGACTATCAGGAGCTTGAGTGATATCTAAGTAGGAAAGCTCTTGGAGCAAATGAAGAAACAGAGGCTTCCTTGAGGAGTGTTTGTATGTTTAAAAGGAGGTGTTGAAATGCCGTGGAGCTTTTTAATAACTACGGAAACCATTGGACATTAGACCTATTAATCCTGATCCCTGTAACACATGAAATAATAGTATGGTGGTCACAGCAGAGTTTGCATTTGGGGGGACCCTAAAGCTACAGCCTGAACAGTGACTGCAACCACAACCTGGCCTTGCTAACTGATGTCAGAAAGCAGGGCCTCCCTAGTGGCGCAAGGGGTTAAGCACCACACTATGAAGCAATCCAAAACCTCTATAGCATGAGTTCAGTCCCTCACCAATCAGGGAGTAACCCACATGGCACAGCAGACCTCTCCTGTCTTGCCCGCTGCTCCCCTCAGCAGTGTACTTTGGTCAGTCTGCCTGTTCTGTTCCCCACTCTGTCTCTGATGAATCCTCTTGCCCCCACTACCACACCGCATCTCTGGCCTGTACCCCAGCTCTTATATGAATAAACAAATAAATCTTAAAAAAAAAAAAAAAAAAGAAAGAAAGCAATCGGTGAGGGCAGCTGCCATGTCAGGAGACAGCTGTCATCCATGCTGGGTCACCCAGGACAAACCAGGTAGCCATACAGGCTCCCAGTGTTCTGGATGGTGATATAGTTGTTTGCAGTACCTAATGAGAAGAGTTTTGCAAAAGGGGTTTGAGATGACAATACTAGAAGGCAATGCTGATATGGTCGGTATGTTACTACGAGGAGCCTTGTAGCTGGGGTTGGAGTGGGGGGGTGCCTGGCTTTTAGTGTCTAGTCTTACAGGGGCTTGTGCTCCTGAAGGCCCCATTGCCTTAGCAGAAAAGGGAAGAATCACTCTTGAAAGTGAGAGGGAAGTCAGGTACCCCCACATAGGCCTGGGGAAAAGGGAGAGAATCAGAGGCTGTTCATGAGGAAGGAAACTCAGATTTTGCCTGGGGAGTGGCATCTCTGGAGGGAAAGGGAGTGTTTGGGGTGGGGAGGACTGGTGATAGCACATGTGAGCTTGCTGTGTTCACTTAAAAGGTCACAGCTATTCTTAGGAAGTGGGTGACAAGACCTGTTTCTATTGAACTCAGCATTAGTGAGTACCCACAGCCTAGCCCTGTGCTGTATGCACAAAAGCAGTGACCATCCCTAGCCAACCTAGGTCGCACCCCTGGACAGCAGATGAGAACCAGGTTGGGAGGGTGGAGAAGGTCATGAGCCCAGTTTTGGACATGTTGCATTTGAGGTGCCTTTGATATACCAAGTAGGCGGGTTATTCTGGGGCTCACAGAGTTTCTGGGCTGGAGAGAAAGACATTGTTGTCTAGGCCTGAAGAGATGGCAAAGCAAATGAGTAAAGAGAGGTGAACTAGAAAAGAGTAACCGGAGAAGAGGGGGTGCTTCCGCCCACTAGGGGAGAGTGGCCAGTGTGTAGCTGCTGCTGTAGGAAGTGATGTGAAGGAGACTCAGCACCTTAGCTGTGGCTGTTTTGTTGGGGCAGTGGGAGCAGAAGCCAGTTTGGGATGAAAGGATGGAGCAGTGGCAGGTATAGACAAGCTTCCACAGTGTGGGGGGCATCAGAAGGAGGGGAAAGATTGGGTGGTGCTGGTGGAATGTGTGGAGGGAACATTTGTTTCTGTTTCCTCAACCTATCCTCCTCCTCCCAGCCCCTCCTGGAAGTCTGTGGTGTGGGTGAGTGGCCCCTGAGGAGCCCTTCCTGGCCTCTCCTTGTCTGTCATGTGGACACAGGCACCTGTAAAGATTTGCTTGTTTCACAGAGTGGGGTTCATGCTGCAGCTTGTGTCTTGATTAATTTTTCAAGGACAGTAATTCTGGGCTATTGTTACTCCAGGTCAGGAACAGCTGTGGAATGTTCTATACTACAGATGTACCATAATTTATTCAACCCTATTGATTTAGTGCAATCACTGATTAGTGTTATATCTTGAAACAGTTGGAGCAGACAGCCTATAGAATCCTGATTGGCATGTGATGAATGCATTTTTTTTAATAAGGAAGACCTGACATTTTTATGATATTCATTTTTCAAATTGGAGAGAGAGGACAGGCCTTGTAATATGTCTTTCTTAGGTATTATGAATGAGATTCTAACTGGCTACATTGGAATTTTTAAAAATTGTTTATATTATTTTTTGTTTTCTGTTTTTTCTGTTCACCGGTTATTATTTTTTGTTTCCTTGTTTTTTCTGTTCACTGGTGACTCATTTTAACCTTTATCCTTACTCATTCCTTCTTACTTTTGACTTGTTTTGATTCTCTACTTTCATATTTAAATTGGTTTTTATTTTTAGTCTTTTAATTAAAAAAGCATATCAACTCAACATTTTCCTTTGAGTGTAGTTCTAACTGACAAGGGAAACACTCACCTTTTCATTGCGTTCTAGTCAGTTTGTGCATTAGTTTTGACCCGAGGATAATTTAGAAGATAGGGTCCTGAATTTCCCTGTCATTTTGTTGGGAGTATGATCATGTTTTATGTTGACTATCATTTATCAGTTTATGATTAATGAATGTGGATAAGCAAAATGTCTCTTATG